TAAAAGGAGAGGACACAGGGTCCCCAAATTCCCTTATTGCAATGCACAGGTGCGACTATGACCCTAAGAACCCAGTTCGTTCTCTCTCTCTCTCTCTCTCTCTCTCTCTCTCTCTCTCTCTCTCTCTTTCTCTCTTTCCTGAGGATAGAACCCAGGGGAATTCTACCTCTGAGCTATATTCCCAGCCCTTTTTATTTTCTATTTTGAGATAGGGTCTTGCTAAGTTGCCCAGGCTGGCCTCCAACTTGCAATCCTGCCTCAGCCTCCTTGAGTCACTGGGTTTACAGGTGAGCACCACCACTCCCACTAAGAATACAGTTGTTTAGTGGACCGATGAATAAGAACTGTTGAGCTGGGCGCAGTGGCGCATGCTGGTAATCCCAGCAGCTTGGAAGGCTGAGGCAAGGGCATCGCAAGTTCAAAGTCAGCCTCAGCAACTTAGTGAGATCCTGTCTCAAAATAAAAAGGGTTGGGGACATAGCTTAGTGGTAGAGTGCCCCTGGGTTCAGTCTCAAGTGCCCCTCTACCCCCCCAAAAAAGTGTTGAACACTTTATAAGCTGAGAGCATAGAGCAAGGTAGGTTGAATTCCAGAACGTAAGCTTGGAGTGAAAAAGCAACTGGAAGTTGGCAGTGAAAGTAGGGATCCCTGGCAGGACATGGTGGTGTACACCTGTATAATCCCAGCAGCTCAGGAGGCTGAGGCAGAAGGATCGGTAGTTCAAGCCAGCCTCAGCAACTTAGCAAGGCCCTAAGCAACTCAGAGAAAACTTGTCTCTAAATAAAATATTAAAAAGGGCTGGGATTGTGGCTCATTGGTAGAGTGCTCGCCTAGCACGGGAGGGACCTAGGTTTGATCCTCCGCACCACATAAAAATAAAGGCATTGTGTTGTGTCCATCTACACCTAAAAAATAAATATTAAAAAAAGAAAGAAGTCCTTAGAAATTTGGCTTTGCCTCCTTTCTTCCTGACAAGTGATCCTGACAAGTGATCTGACTTGTGAATGACCAGGTAGGGCAACTGTACATCTATCATAACAATTTATTCACTGAATGCTTGCTAGGTACTATGCACTATTTGTGTACCATAGCATCTAGTTCTCATAGAAACCTTATGCACCAGGGTTTGTTGTTGGTTCCATTTCACAGAAACCAGGACGTAGAGAGGTGAACAATTTGCCCAAGGTCACACAGCCAAGAAACAGAAGTGCCCAGTTCTCTATCTTGACAGTCTGGGTTATCAGATATCAGTGGTGGCACTTGGTGATGCATCGTGGCTGGAACCCAAAGTCAGTTATTGGGTGTTATGTGACTATTTTACAAAGTCACTGAATGGTCAGAACTTGTGACTAGCTTTTGCCATCTTACAAGTCACATTCACTTTGGTGTAGTTAGGCTTTCCAAATCATAGTGCTCTATGACCAGTGGTCTGTCACTGACTCGAAGGCAAGGAGCACATCCCATGTAGGGGACCATGATCCCAGACAGATGTTCTATGTTCTTATATTTGTCATTTTACTATTTTTCTTTAATTGCCTGAACGATAGTACACTTTACACCCCAGGATAGATTCTCTTGATGATTTTAAGCTGTATACAGCAAACTCTGACCAACTTCATTTTTGAAATTAACTTTTTTTTATTTTTTAGTAGGTCAGGGACAAACTATAAAAATGAAGAAATAGATAAAAAATAACACAGCTTTTTTAGTACTGTAGAAGACAACTTGCATACAATAACTCTTAATATTGATGATGCCTTAAATGGTACACTGTCTTTCTTCCAAGAACAAATAGCTCAAAATAGGGGCCAGACTATTTTTTTCCTAAGTTTACCACAAAAGAGAAATTGGACTGCTGTTGTTCTTGCAAAAATGCAAATTACAAATCAATCTGAAAGGAATTGAGCTTTGAATTAACGTGAGGCCCGGGAACTGGTGTCATTTGTGTGGATTCCAGTGGGGATTTAATAAGACCAGGTGGACAGCACTGAACGATTGGGAAGAGAGACAGAACGGGTTGTCTGGGTTTTTGAAAATTTAATGAGGATGTGACTTGACACATGGACTCCTGTTGTTTGCTTGGGCAGAGTGGAGCATGTTAATCTGTTCAAGATCATCTCCATTCCTAGACGAAATTAGATTTTAGAAAACATTACTTTTCTTTCGTGACCATCAGCTGACAGTGAACTGGCTATGCTATGTGCCTTCCTTGGAATGGACCAGACCCTTAACCAGATGTAACGGATTAGCCAAGGTCCCCATCTACGGACAGTCACCACCATGTCTGCATTTCTTGACTATCAGAGGTTATCAGAGGAGATGGGAACTGCTCTTATGCAGGAACTGGAAGCATCCACAGCTCAAGCAGTGTGGGAAGACTCTTTCTGGACAAGCAAAAAGAGTCTTGGCAGGGTTTTGACTCTTGTGATTCTTAGAACAGCAAGAGGACACTTGTGTCTGATTTCACAGATTTCCACTAGCAGGATGGAGAAGGATATACAAAGAAGTCCTGACCTTTCCGGAATGTGCACATTCTTGACTTTGTAAACTATTTCTGCAATGGTCAAAAGGCTCATAAATGGGTTTCAACATGTTTTCAGAAGGTCTTCCACGTTTCATGGTCCTATTCATCTACCAAATACTGTTGTTTTCTCGATTTTTTACATGGCCACACCTGGCAATGGAGAGTGGAGACAGAATACAGATTACAGTCTCTATTCTGAAGGAGTTTAAAGGTTGCAAAGTTAGCACACATGAAACAGCAAAAACTGAGAACATCTATAAATAGGATTGGGCATTGAAATTACAATTAAATAATTATTTGTATAATTACTTGCTTAATGGCTTTTAGGCCATCAGTCCCAGGAAGACAGGGACTTCACTGTATTCCCAGCACCTAGAACAGAGATGAATGCAGGAGGTATCTAAATCTTTATTGTCTGGCTGAGTGACAGCAACAATGTAATAGTTGGGTTTAATATTATTATCTTGGAGCAAAGTCTGCTGCACAAATTAGTTTCCTTGCAAATTCACTTATATGACTTTCATCATCTGAGCAAACTGCTAATAATTGAGTGCCTATCTTAGTGGATAACTAGAATACTTAATGTTCTTGCATGTAAGAGCAACATTAATGTAAGTAGATAACTGCTAACAGTAGAATTCAAGAAACACCAGAAATCACCTCTTTTTTAAAAAATCTAATTTTTCTCTGAAATATTGATTCCTTTGCGTTGTGAAGGTTTTAAAGTCTTCCAATTTCCCCAATAAAGTGTAGAAAAGACACCCTAAGCCTTTATTCTTCCAGTACCATTTTTTTTTTGTTCTGATACTGGAAATTGAACCCAGAGTACTTTTCCATTGAGTACATCCCTAGCTGTTTTGTTTATTTATTTAATTTTGAGACAGGGTGTTGCTAAGTTGCTGAGACTGGCCTCAGTCTTCCCAGTATCTGGCATTATAGGCATGCACTGCTGTGCCCGATTTCTCCCAACACTTTTGCAGGATTTGTTGGAATGGGAGCACAGGATAACCTGTGGGATGATATATTCTGCTTACAAATAATTGGGTTGTGTTTCATATGGAAATTAGATTAGATGGAGATCACAATTTTGGGATTCAAACTTGGAGAGAAGTACCTATAGATCACACTTTAAGGAGACCAAAGAATTAGGAATTGACATTGAAAAGCATTTATAATTGATAATATCTTTGAGTTCAAAGCTCTACATAGCACATTATCAAGTTCAAAGTATGCTGTCTTTTTTTTTTTTTTTCCCCTCAGTAATGATGCTCTTATCTCTAGATAACAAAGCTGACAGGAACAAGATCAGGAAGCCACATCTGTGGGTTGGGACTTGGACATATATCTCCTGACTCCCAGATCCTTTTCCTGTTGCATCTTTGTCACACAAACTGCCAAACATTTTATCTACACCCAGAAGTGTCCCTACAGTTTAGGAAGCACCAGAATGCTGGGTGTTTAATTCTTGAGGTTATTAGGAAATTGAACTCTTTGGAATCATCCCATGACTTTGAACAAAAAGGTTGAAAACTGTCTGCTTTGATAGATGATGGCAGAAGGATCCTTTGATTCAATGGGCAATTTGTAAATATAAAACAGTTGCTGGAAAATTCTATTAGAGATGAACTATCTCCTCCATTACAATGTTTGCTTTTCTTTAATGCAATTTTGTTCGAGCAGAAGGCTTGGAATGGCCCACATTCAATGTTTCAGGAAGAATTACTGGAAACGAGATATCAGAGAAAGACAATCCATAGATTTGGAATAGGGGGGAGCTAAGCCTTCCGCCCAGCTCCTGGCTGTGCCCACGTGAAATTGAATTCAGAGCTCCTTCTGCATCATAAATCCCGGCAGCTGGCAGCAATCCAAGGGAGACTGGCGCTAAACTCCAAGGGCATCTGACGCCAGTCTGGCCAACCCCTATTAAAGTCCTCTGAGGGCTGCACCCCAGGTGTGCTGGATTGGGATTCGGTTCCTACCTCAGGACAACATTCATTTATATGCCTTGCACTTTGTTAATTTAAAGATGCACCCATGGTCAGAAAAAGGAGAGGTTTCATTATATTTCAAAAAGCTGAAAGGCTGTCATCAGTTCCAGGACAGGTCCTAGGGCAGGAGGGGCAAGGTCTGACTTCTCAGTGCTTTCATTCCTAGATCTTTTTTCGCCCCCGGAGTGCACGTGCGAGTTAGACACCCGGCCACCGGGTTTCGTAGAGTGGGACGTCCCCACGTCTCGGACCCTCCGTTCCTGTTCAGGCTGCTGGAGGGCAGGGGTGAGGGGTCTCGAGCCGCGCTCCGGAGGCCTGAGCTTGAGGGTCTCAGGTCTCTGCCACCGCAGAAGCCGCCGGGCCGGGCGTGTTCCCGCGGGCGGGGCAGCCACCGCGGACCCCGCCCACCGCCACCGGGGGGGCGGGGCCTCCGTCACGTGACGGCGCGCCGAGCGGTGAGCCCCGCCCGGCCGGAGGAGGCCCGGCCGCGACCCGGGCCGCGCGCTGTGGAGCCGCCCGTCCACCCAAGCGCTCGCTCTGCGGCGCCCCCCGCCCCGGCTCCTAGCCCGCCCGCCCCGGGCTCGCCGGCCGCGGGAGTGGCCTCAAGATGGACGAAGACGGCGGCGGCGAGGGCGGCGGCGGTGAGTGTCGGAGGTGTGGCCGGCCCGCCGGCGGCCTGGGGCCGGGGTCGCCTGAGGAGACGCGTCCGGACGGCGTCGCTGCGGGCTGGTGACCGCGGAGGCCTGAGGCGCGCGGACACGGGGCGAGGCGGGGGCTCGGCCCCGGGGAGGGGCGGGCCGCGGAGGGGTTGTCGGCCAGCGCACGGGAGGGTCCGGGTGCGAGGCGGGTCGCCACGGCCGGGGTCTCGCGGAGGGGTGGGGGTCGCCCTGGTGGGGCGGGGACCTTGCGGGGCGACCTTCCTCGCGTGTTGTCGCCAAGGGCGTCCACGCCCTCCGGAGAGGTGTTGGACGACCCCAGGCAGCAGCTCTTCTCAGGTGGTGGGAGCGGGCGAGCGGGTGGGAACCCGGGAGGGGAAAGTTTTTTCTCGGGGCTCCTCCGGGGTCCAGCAGGGATGGGGGGAGGTTGGAAATCGGGACCGTTTTCCTGGCTTTAGATCCGGAGTGGTCTCTGGGAAATTGCTTAGGCGAGGAGGGGGGCAGCTCCAGTCCAGGTCTGGGCACGCATTTTATGAAAGAGCAAAGGTTACAGAGTAAGCAGAAAAACGAGTCGGTGTTGCGGAGGGTGGGCGACAGGAGCCCAGCCAGCAGCGGAGGGGAGCCCCGAGATCAGGTGCGGAAGACACCTTTCCGAAGTGGGTCGTGCCGGTGCCCTGCGTGGCCCTGGTTGTGTGTCCGACATTCCGCGTCCTCTTGCAGGAAGGGTCGTGTTTGTTGTCAATTATTTAGTGGAATACAAATTACTGTCGTGTCATGCTGTGAATTAGGTTTCAAAACTGAGTAACGTGCCTCCCTGTATGGGGAGTGGGTCCATTGATTTGGAAAGCAAAGGGTTAATGCCCATATTTTTTTACAGGAACACCCCAAGTTGAGGCGCTCTATCCTTTGGCTAACGATCTCCTTTTTGCTGACAGACCGAATCATCAGAACCCCGTGTAATAAGGGAGTGTTTAGAAAAATCTTAATTACAGGCTGCCGGAGCAGCTGCCTGTAAGAATCAGCAGTATTGAAGGGTTCGGGATGAAGTGGTTAATCAAGGTGCCTTCTAGAATGCAAGTGCTGCTCAGAAGGAAATCATTTTTGCTGAAAGAAGCGGTGCGGCAGGACTGGTGGGAAGTTGGCACCAGTCATGGCATTTGGCAAGTTCAGTTCTCATAGTTAAAGCCAGGGGTAGCACTGTGGCACCGAGTGGGTGTGTTGTTTATGAAGGAGAATGCTGTGTAAAGAAGGAGCCCAGTTGCAAACCCTCCTACAGCCTGGCTGTCCGTCTGGAGACACCGGATCCTAAGTAATGGATTCCCTCTGGATGCCCTGCTTTTTGCCCAGCACAATTTGGCATAGCAGTTTTCCCCTTATAATAAAATAAGACAAACAACTGTAATATTTGAACATTTGACATTAGAGTCAAGGAGGTAGCTGGCTTGGCGATTTTGTTTGGAAAGTGCTTCTGACTCTGACTAAAGAAATGAGGAACACTTGAAGGTAAAAAGCAGGTATAAAGAAAAAAAAAAAAGGGGCCAGTGTGCTGCAGCTATTTATAGCTCTCCAGAACCATAACAAAGGATGATATTAGGTATCAGTAAGGCTTAAAACTATCTTTGGGTTATTAATATCTCTTTTGGGAAGTGTCACAGAGAAACAACCTTGAAATTCAAAAATATATATGATGTGTGACAGTATGTATTACACTATAATTGTAAAAAATTGGAAACAGTAATGTTCAATAGTAGAATGGTGAGTTAAATTTGGGAAGTTTGTGAGGGAAACATTTTCAGCCATTAAACATAAGCAGCTTTACATCCTTGTCTAAACAATGAAAAAACTGGTAATAATATGTTTTATTTTTTTAGTTTTTACATTTTCCAGGTTTATGGAAAAAGTGTGTGTTACTTTCAAATTTGAAAAAGAAACTCAGTTTATAAAAGGCATGCAGATGTTTTACATGTACAGGATGATTTAATTCATCTCACTGGAGCATTGAACAATGAACAGATATTTATTGTCTACTAAAATGCCAGGCAGCATGCTAGGTGCTGCCAAACTTTTAACCTTTATTGGTTTGGTTTATCAAAATCTTTCTTCCTTGAATTGTGAAAGACATTTAAGAATATGTTTGGCAATTGAAGAATAAGTAATTTTGAATCAAATAAAAATCTTTCACAGTTTTGAAATATGAGTCATTTTTAGTGCTTGTTGTATAAACTTGATGTACTGTTGATTGTTGGAGGTTTTGAAGTTAACATACCTTTTTATAGTTCTGTACAGTTAACATCACTTAGATTAAAAAAAGTTTTTTTTTTTAATATTTATTTTTTAGTTATAGGTGAGCATAGTATCCTCACTGTACTTTATGTGGTACTGAGGATTGAACCCAGTGCCTCACACAAACATGCCAGGCGAGCACTCCACCTCTGAGCCATAACCCCAGCCCAGATTAAAAAAAAAGTTTTGCTTTAAAATTCATGTTTTAAAAAATGAAGTTCAAGGGCTAGGGATATAGCTCAGTTGATAGAGTGCTTGCCTCACATTCACAAGGCCCGGTTCTAATCCTCAGCACTATTAAGAAAGAAAGAAAAAGGAAAAAAAATGAAGTTCAGCCTTTTGAAAGAGAACAATTTCAGTTGCCAGTTGATTGTAAAGCATAACATTTTTTGGTATATCTTTAGAGTGTAGGAAAGAACTTTGAACTGTGTCTGGGGAGTCAGTTTCAGCTTGTTTAGATGAGGTAAATGATCTATTCATACAGTAGTTATGACAGAGGCCAAAGATTATTTAAAAGATCTTTTTTATTAATGTTTTGGTTGGGTACTTTAAAATTTTATTTAAAAGTTGATTCTCACTTGCTGCTTGTATAATATAACTTTTTGTTCAGGATGTAATTCTTTGTTCTTTCGATGCAAGATAAGGAGAGGATGGCGGCATGAATGGCTGGAAGGCAGTTACAAGGAGGAGCCAGTTGGGGGTACAAGATTACAAGAACACATTGTTTCTTAAAATGTGTGCAGAGTGTAGTTAAGGTATTTGTAATTCTTTTGGCACTTGTTGCCTTTCTCTTTTCAACAGTTTTTTTGGATATGTCTCTACTTGGAAGGTGACTGGCTAGTTTGGCACATTGCCATCATTTGTCTGATTGATGTTCCTGAATGGGTCGTCCATGGCAAATGAGATGTATTAAGTTAAATTGGTTCCCCTTCCTGTCTCCACTTATTCCCATCAGTATAGGTGAGGATTAAGTCTGGCTCAAAGTGACACTCAGCCTCACTCAAAATAAAATAAATATAAATTAAGATTAGATTGAGATTCTGTCTTTCATATGTCAGACAAGTGATAACCCCCAAGTTTGAAAGCAGAATGTTGGCAAGACTGTCTCAGCATTTACTGGTAGGAGTATAAATTAGTCATGGGTCTCAGGGAGGCTCAATATACCCTGTGTCCTATTGGCTTAAATCCATTTCTTGCCTTTTCCCCCTGCAGAGGGATTCACCTCCACAGGCAGCATTTCCCCGGTCCTTGGTCACCTGCCCTCCACCTGGATTTGGCCAGTGGGAGCCACTGGTGGGAGACTGTATGGCAGGAGGAAGAGGGAAACCAGGTGGTTTTGTTACTCTCCCCCTCCTACTGCCTCAGACAGTGTCTCTGCAACTGCCTTGTCCTTTTGGCCCCAGCACCTGAGCTTTGGAAATACCTCTTCCTGTCTACTCTGCAACCAAGAGGTGGGAGCATCTTCTTGCTCTTGCTAATCTCCAGGCTGTCTTACTGTTTCTTGTTTGACTTCTGTTTTCCATCACATAAGTAACCAACTCCTTATATTAAATTCCCTCAGTTTCAGACCCTTAAAGAGATGGCTATTTCTCTGGGTGGACCCCAATATATATAGGACGTTGGTCAGTATAAAATTACAAGTGTAGCAGGGCTTGGGGTGTAGCTCAGTGGTAGAGCTACCCCTGGGCTCTGTTGGGGGTGTATCACAAATATAGAAATCCTTTGACCCAGCAGTGCCAGTTCTAGGAATTCAAGCCTGCAGATACATATGTCCATGTGTGAGCTAATATAGGCAAAAAAATTATTCATTGCTTTGTTCATCAGCAGAAAACTGATTAGATAAATAACAACATGCCCAGATGGTGAATGAAATTGTGAAATTGTAGAAAGGATCAGGAAGCTCTTTGTGAATTGATACAGAAAGAGCTCCAAAATACACATGAAAATTACAAGGAACTAACAACAGTGGCTACCTATTTGGGGAGGTGATGGGGAAGATAAGTGAAGAGGAAACTTTTCACTATATGCCTTTTTATTTCTTGACATTACAAAAGTTTTGTCTATCTTCACTTTCTAAAATTAGAAAACAATTTTTATGGACAAATAGTATAGTATACTGATAAGAACCATCTTGCCTTTTTTTTTTTTTTTTTTTTTTTTTGGTGTGGCGTACAAACCCAGAACTTTGTACTTGCTAGGCAAGAGCTTTACTATTAACCTACCCCAACCTCCCGCCTCCAGCCCCAAATATCCTTTTTGAGGGAATTTATGTATTTGTTTTATTTTATTTTATTATTATTATTATTTTTAATCTTATTTATTTATTTTTTTTGGTGGGGTTCTTTTTTTTGTCTTTTTTGGAACTGGGGGTCGAACCCAGGGCTTTCGAATGCAAGGCAGACGCTTTGCCACTGAGCTATATCCCAGCCCAATTTTTTAAAAATATTTTTAAAATTGTTTATGGATTTCTTTTTCATTAATTTATTTATATGTGGTGCTGAGAATTGAACCCAGGGCCTCACCCATGCTAGGCAAGTGCTCTACCACTGAGCTACAATTCTAGACCTTTATTTATTTATTTATTTATTTAAAAATGAGACCAGAGGGAAATTCATATATTAAATATATAAATATATAAATATATATTAATATATAAATATATTTTAAATTTTTAATATTTATTTTTCAGTTTTTGGCAGACA